TAAATTTTAGTAACTAGTTGAAAATATTATTTATATTTGCTGTTAACATTTCATGTACATTTTATAAATATTGTTAGTATTGGGGGTAGTGGTGTGAGTGTAGTCAGCCGACGCAAATCGCCACAGGCCAGCGCTAGACGAGCGGTCAACCGTGACGAGTGAGACGTCAGCCGAGACGAGTGTCAACATGTCGGTTCGGGAAGGCGTCGTGAACAGAGCTCAGGAGCGTCACGAGGGATGTAGTCATGTGACGAAGCTAGAAACGTCGAGCGATATTTCGCCCGGTTCTAGAAGGCCATTAGGGACCCTATATAAAGAGCGGAGGTGTCGCAGTCAAGACGGTTCACGACAGGGCTCAGAACACGGTCGACTACAGCACAGTTCAACGGTGTGGTTCTGTACGGAGCATTACGACGGTTCAGTGCGGAGTACTGTCAAGTACAGTTGAGACGACTGACGTCTTGATCTTGGTCTGCGATCGAGTCCGACACAACGAGCCAAGTGTGTGAAGTCAGTCCTGAACTGTTGAACCCAGTGCAAGCCCGGAACGAGAGGCCGGTGCAAGAGTTGATACGCGGTACGGTGTACGTGTTGCCAATTGTACAGTATTGGCTGTTATTTATTCAACTATTAAAGTGTTACGTTACTTTAGAGCCCTGAGTTGTCAAGTTCTTTAAGTTGGTGGTGTATAGTGCAGTTTGCAGAGAGCCTGGATAGTGAGATTCGTAACAATATATTTGACTTAGTGATACTGAAAATACACAGAAATTGTCCATCTTTGTTAGCATATTGTAGCATTGCCTCCCTTACATTTACGTAATAGTTTTAGTGTATTTTTATGAAAAAATCGCTTGCATAATTAATTTTATAAATTGAACGGTTTGCTTTTAGAGAACCAAAAGTAGCCGTTGCACCTAAATTTTTCAAGCCGCATCGCATGGTAAAATAATATATTTCATATCTCTCTAGTTTTCGAGATCTGAGTGTGATAGGCGAACAGACGGACATTTTGCACAAACTTATTAATGAAATTATTCAGAGGTGGAAACTAGAACTCTCGTGTTTCTACTATGATGTCATCTATCGCACTGGCAAGCATAACACTGTAGCTGATACATTCACTAGAAACTATCTATCTGAACTCGCTAGCAATGACCTTAAATTGCTACATAGGCCTATTAGGCTCTGCCATCCTGCCATTACTCGATTATTGCATTACGGATGGGCTAAAAATCGTCCATTCTTGGTTGTGATGTCAGAACTGGGATTGAACAATGTCAAACTTGGGCGGAGTTGACGCCCCGTATTTTTTTTCGACAGCCGACCGCATAGCTGATTAAAGCAACTCAGCCATTTGAAAGAAATAGTATGGACTTTAAGGGACCTCTCCCTTTCTTTTAAGAAACAGATATCTTCTTAATTACTTAGACTTGGGTCCTCCCGCGCCGTTCGACGCATAGGGCGGCAAGTTGTCTCCACAAAGACCTGTCACTGGCAATGTCTAAAGCCTCCTCTCACTTGGTGTCCACTGTTCTGAAGTCCTCAATGAAGGTGTGGCGTCAAGTTATACGAGGACGTCCCTGTTTGCGCTTCCCTCGTATTGGCATCCATGTCATTGCAGCTCTTGGTATGTGTAGTTCATTTAGTCGGAGAACATGTCCTGCAAACCTCATGCGACGCTCTGACACAATCTCACTAAGTGCTCGACTCCCAGTTCGGCATAGGATTCCTTGTTTCAGACCCGATCTGTGTAACTGACTCCCAAAATCCGTCTCAGCCATTTTTGTTGAGCCAAATTTAGTCTTTTCTCAATTTTGACAGACGACTTCCATGTTTCACGTGCATATGTTGCTGTTGGTATGACGATTGTTTTAAGAAGGTGTATTTTTGTCTCAAGTCCAATGGCTTGACCAAATAGGCTGCAGCCTTTGGAAAATGCTCCTCGCCTTTCCTATTCGGCACGCTACATCATGGTAGGCATCCCCATCATTTGTTATGATGCTGCCAAGGTATGTGAACTTGTCCAGCTCTTCCAGCTTTGAATCGCCAAGTCTGACGGGGCACCCTTTGCCTTATATCTCACTCGCAAAATTTTAGTCTTTTGCAAGTTTATGCGGAGGCCAATTTTGGGTACCTCTCTATCTAGGCTCTCCGTCATTTCTTTTATGCTTTTATTTGTAGCCCCGAGTAGTGCAACGTCAACGGCAAAGTCCAAGTCCGTCATTCGGTCTTGTTCACGCCATGGAATACCAAAGGCAGTCTGGTTCATTGCGCTCCTCATTATGTAGTCGATGGCTAGGGGGGAAGAGGAAGGGAGATAAGATGCACTATCAAACGCTTTCTTAAAGTCTACGAAACTGATCGTTAGCCGTTGTTGGTGTTCGAGACTTTGTTCTATGATATTTTGTAGAACGAAGATCTGCTCTGCACATCATCTGCCTCTTTGGAAGCCTGCTTGCTCTTCTCTGAGTTTCTCATCTACAGACTACTGAAGCCGTCTCAACAGAACACTGCTGAAAATTTTGCCCGGGACAGAGAGGAGATTAATGCCCTTGCAATTGTTGCAAGTTCGCCAACAGAGATTTAAGAGATCAGTCATTCTGTTAGCAATGCACTGCCTCCCATGTTTTAGCATTTCTGCTGACACCATGTCTAGCCCTGGTGCTTTGTTGTTCTTTAGGACTGCAATGGCCATGGTAGCTCCTCTGTTGTTATTGGGTCTGTTTTGACCTTGAGATCATTGTCCGGAGAAGGGTCCTTGAATGTGTATGTAGTCAGATCTGGAAACAGTTGGTTAAGGGTCTCTTTAAAGTGCTCTATCCATCTTGCATACTGTTCTTCTTACGTTCGCAAAGTTTTGCCTTGCTTGTCTTTTATCGGTGCTCCATGTCCACTCTTTGTTCCAGTGAAATCTCGGACAATACGATGGAGAGTATTTGTGTCATTTCTGCTTGCAGCTGCTTGTGCCTATTGACCCTTCTGTTCAATCCAGTCCCGTTTATCTCGAGAACAGCTTCTCTACTTTCAGATCTGCTTCCCTATAGGCTTCTTCCGCTAGGCTGCGATCCTGTGTTTCATTTTTCTGGTCTCTTCTACGTTTTGGCATCTTTCCTTTCATCGATCAATTTCCATGTTCTGTCTTTTCCATCGTTCCTTGTATGAACCTCGCCTCCTTCCGATGACTTCTTCCGCGAACTCAATAGTGGTATCTCTGCAACAGCCTCGAAGCGGTTCTTTAGTTTCAATTGGAACTGTGATGTGATGCAATTTGGCCTCCGCATAAACTTGGATAAGACTAAAATTTTGCGAGTGGGATATAAGACTTTGAGCTTATCTACATTAAATGGGCGGGGCCGTGTGGCTCGTTTTAGTTGGCGTTTCAGTCGGAGCTTACATTTGCCACTGACAAGGTAGTGGTCTGAGCTAATACCCGCTCCTCGGCACGTCTAATATTAGATATCTTCTATTATAGATGAATTTTCTACATTTGTATTTACAGATGTCTTCCTCTGCGGTTTTCAGCGTACGTCACACACCGACAGGGGTATTTCGTTTATGTCTACAGAAGTGCATAGAGGGGAATCGCGACCACTAGAACGACCCCATATAGACCCCTAGGAAATGGACAAATAGAGAGACTAAATGGAACTTATGGAAAGCCATCACTTTGGTTTAACTTTCTAAGGAACTGGACATAACTAAATTGGAACTAGTATTAAATGATGCTCTAATCCATCCTGCCATTACTATGCACTTCAACTAACAGCACACAACGTGAACGACTTTTTGGGTTTAACCGAAGAAGTGGCTCAGGGACATCTTTACAAAAATGGTTGACCAGTCCTGTCCTTCTAAAGAATGTTTGCCGCGAGGGTGTAACAAAGAGTTATAGAGAATGAGAATCTGAGTGGCAAAGAGTATGATATTGACTGCCATGTCCAAAGATCGCCTCTCAGGAATCAACCAACTGATTCTACTATGGCTGAAGAAACCACCAGAACTACTGAAGACATAGACCGTAGGAAAATAGATACAATCTTAAAGGAGAACTAGGCCAGTAAAGAGTAAAAGTTCATCAGCTTGCAAGATAACATTTGTCAATAATAGTCTCCACAATGGCATGTGACTATTATACTTTACTTGTAAAAACTCACATCATATGAACTATTTAATCTAATTTCACATTTACTTTCTTCATTTTATTATGCCACTTGACTTTTACTAGCCTTTTGGTCTACAATGTTCTAGCATTAACCTAGCAATATGTTGTAACATGTCATGCTTTGTTTAATTGAATTTCTATTATTGTTCAGCGTTTACTTTTTAAATTCTCTTAGTGTAGATAATAGATATAGTAGTAGGCACAAGTTGAACTGGGACTGAATGTTTTACTGTATAGGTTGTCGTTCTTATGTTTACATGTGATTGTAGCTCGTCCGTAAGATTGTGTCCAAGTAATATTTGAGATGTGGTCATTCAGTGTATTAAAGTCATACCACACGGACATGGTTTTCGACTCTATTGTGTAACATGCATCATTGAGCCTTTCAGAGATTGTATGTAGGAGTATTTTCTTGGGCTTTTGGGAGGGGGGTGGGGTGAGGAGTTCCGGACAAAATATGTGCGCCTTATGATGTCATAGGAAACAAGCAAAATTTAAAAAAAGAAAAAGCTTATAATACGTGTATCAATTAGTTTGGATCAGTCACTTGTAATAGATCTAGACTAACAATAATAAATCTGTAGCTTTCTCACTACGCTATGCTCCTATCACTTGTCTGGACCAGTTGGAAAGGGGTGGGGGAGAAAGAATGAGGTCTCAGGCTGATCGTTTATTAAGGAGATATGGTAGATTTTTTGTTTTTAACGTTTATAAATGGTAGGATTCTCTCGGTTAATTGAATCTAAATGTTCCAATGCCTCATTTCTCCTCATTGTCACAGGAATTGTTAATTCCAGACACACAGACAGACAGTCGTTCCTAGAAACAAGTTGAATGCATCCATTAGATATATTTATTAGATCTTGGCAAGTAGAAACAAACATCCAGGTTAGATTTGTGGGGAGGGGTGCAGCAATACTCTAATGAACAATGACATCACCATACACATCGAACTGAAGGAATACAAAGTACATATTTGGCTAGAGATACTTTTAATATTGAATATATTCTTGTAATATTAGCAGCACAAACTAAACATAACCCACTAATGATAAAGTTTTATTGACTAATACTGTAACAAACTAAAAATAGATTACCATGACCTTGCACCAGTGTATTCAGTACAAAAAGGCATAATGTTCCGTCTATTTGTTTAAGAGTTCTGGATGCGTGCACATTTAGAGAAACATATCAACATCCACACAATACTGACAGCTCTTTAAGTTACACAATCAACTAAACCATGAGCATGATCAACAATGTTTGTCCCCAATAGAAAACCAATGAGACCAAAATGTGTTCCGAACTAATGCTGTTGCCTAGCCCAACAAAACAGAGGGTCTCGATAGTTCCTACCAGATCTAAGTGTTCTTTCTCAGCATTCTATAGAACCCTTACCTGATGACATTTGACAATGATAGATTTCTACATTGTACTTCTTATCCTCTGATACTGTAGCCTAAAGACCAGAATCCAATGTGTACTTGACTAACCAGCAAGATACCAACAATGGAAAACAAAACAAAAAAAAAACGAATGGACTAACGGAGGGGGGGGGGGGGGGGGGGGAAGGTCAAAGTTAAAATGAAGATTTCAATCAATCAATAAATAGATAGATGTATAGAGAAAGAGAATATTTATATATAAAAAAAACACTGTAAAAGTTAAAATTGGACTATTTGTTAAATAATATAAACTAGTTCTATAAATATGGGAAAGTTGTGATGTAACCAAATAGTAGATAATCCTAACCTACAAATAGAGTTTGAATCTTTCTATTTGTTTGTGTATTGGTACATTTGAAGTCAAGTGATAAACATTTTGGATTGATTGACTTCAAACTTGCCATGACACAGCATCAAGCAGGAACAACAACAAATTAAAAGACTGAAGAGACACTGCACCCACAAGTGTTCTGGCAGCACATCAACACATGTACACACTAGATCTACATCAAAATGAATGCATCTTGAACAAACATCTGGGGTTACACACGTCTAGTTCTATAGTAGTATACACAATAGATGTATAAATAGACCACTTCCCAAAGGTCAAAATATAAACAATTGAAAAAAACCAACTAATCTGATTGGCAGGTAGAGTAACAATTTTGTAAATAATCTAACCACACATAAAGTCACACATAGAAATATATATATATATATATATTTCTATCAGTATGTGTGTATAATGTGAAAATATCATGCAAACAATTGAAATTGAGTCTTTTAAAAATGAGACTTAGAATACAAAAAAAATTTGAGTTATTTTGTAGTAATAATATTGATTCAAGTTTGTTAAATACAAATCAACAAAATAAAAGCAAAAGCAAAAAAAAAAAAACCAACTGAAGGCTTTTTGTTAGTTCTCAAATGTTGAGGCCAAACTTTGTATTGTGTCTTAGGATTCAAGTAACAAGAACAGCCAGCTCAAAGCCATACAATTCTACATTAAGTTAATGGCCAATAAAACAAAACCACCGACTAAATAAAATAGTTTATTGCACAAACAATGCTATATGTTAGCAGATACAATAGAATAAAGAAACATTCTGGAAATAATTCAACTGCTTAATCAGGTACACATATATAATATATACAGAATAATTTGTGCTTGTGCTTAGCTGTTAGCTCATTTCAATGGAATATATTACACCTGTGCTACTGATAGGATTTGATTGTTAAGATGAACCAATACAAGCCATCACACTCAGTCTACAGTTTGGGTTTTGATAAGATTCAAATAATGACTAACCAAACAAACCAAAAAAAAAAAACCTAACCCTCATCTAAATGCATTCTAAGTACATGACCAAAAAGAAAATACTGCTTCATACATTGTCCAAACAAAGCAAGGAATGTGCTGCTAAAAAAACACAACATTTGTATTAATGTTTTAACACTGACAAATTCATTGGTTGTTCATAATATGACAGATTTAATCAGACTTGCAACAACTAAGTGAAAAAAGATAATTAAAAAATTCTAGAAAAAACAAAATGTTGAAGGTAAAATATATTAGTAAGCAGCACACCTCTACCAGCTGACATACACAACACATAACATTAGAAATAACAACTTGGAGACAAGAATATGGAATCTACTCAGAAGATGCATTCATTTTGTTGGTGGGGGATGGGGGGGGGGGGGGGCGAATACATCATAAAACCGTGAAAAAAACCCCCAATGAATTCAAAATGCTATGCTGGATAAAATATAATCAACAAAGAAAATAAAGGTGGCAGCACTGTCATGGTCTCCACTGTGATAATGGCTTAAGTAGCATTCCTTTCAGACATTTATCTTTCTGGTATTATGGCAGTGCTCCCACTTTGAAGGACTAAATCTTAAAATGCACAAAATACATGAGCCTTCACAATCACTAGTAATATATAAACAACAAATAGCGGAGGTAAATGTGGTCCTTTGTATATATAGAAATATAAGTATGTATAATATATTATCATTACAAAGAAAATCAAATAAGTTGCAACAGTGTGACTGAAGGGAAAGTAGAATGTGTTCTTAGAAAATAAAAGCTTGTCAAACAAAACAAAAGTTGTACTAAGAAAATCACTAACAACTATCAAATTATAGACTGGGTTATTTAGGAATGGAGAACAAAAAATCATTGAAATACTTTAGCTATAGCCTATTATTGTACTTTGGAACTTTAACTAATATTTTTTTTTTTAAATCATACTTCACTAATCAAATCTGTTGATGAGACTGCACTTATTAGTGGCTATTCACAGTCCTGCAGCATTGTTTAACCTGAAGTATCAATAAATTGTTAACTGATAGAATGAACACAAGTTTGTACAAATAAATGTAAGCTATGTATTCACAGAAAATGGCTTTAAAAAAAATAATTTAAAAAAACAAAACAAAACAAAAATGCAAATTGAAAAAAAAATCTTTAAGTACCAAAGCTAAGCCAATAAGAAAACAAAAAAGTCTGTATACAGTTACATTATTTCAAGGACTCCCAAAGTGTTGAATAAAATGGTAGACTTGGTTATAGAACACTATCTACTAGCACACTCCACTCTCTGCCCTATTCAATGAGCACAATAGATCATCTACAACATTTTAGAAATGAAAAAAAAGCCTTCACTATATAGTTTTAAAATGAAAAAAGGAGTTATCTCAAATAAGTCAAAAGACAAGCATTAGACTAAATTTGTATGTGCCAGAATTTTTTTAAAAATTTAATTTTTCAGTCAATGATCAATTTGAAGTTTCAACTAATTTATTTCTGAAAATCTAATTTGCAGACAGAGAATCTAAGAGACAATGTCTAAGAGGAAAGATACAAAGTAAACACATGTTCAACTCAAACTTTGAATATATGTAGAGATATCAAGATATTCATAAATAGTGAATCTTTTTGTAAACAAATAGAGAGCATGCTGAATAATAAGCATAATACTGTACCAAATGGAATGACCTAACAACTACTTTGAAGAAAATTTGAACAAGATCAGCAAACAGTTGTGTAAGAAAAGGTCTGAACAAATACTAAAAACGTGCAAATAGACAAATGGATACTGCTTTAAAAAAAAAATTTAGTAAAATAAAATTCACAACCATATATATATATATATGTATATATTGTTAATAATTAGCACTTAAAAATAATATGTGACAGCAATTGCTTGGATGACTCCAATACTAGAAACTATGAACTATATCAACACAAATGACCAACTATGAAACTAACTGAAGCATTACAAAGTACACACAGCAAGCTGGAACCATCCAAGCAAATGCAGCACATACTCCAAGGCTACTGCTACAAGTTGAAGGGGGGGTTGGGAAGTAAGGACTCTTTGTTTTGGAGAAGTTTTCAAACAATATTTGGCCAAATCATGCATTTAATACTTTAAGCAAAGAAAAACTTGTCCAAATATAAAGAGTCCTGTGGTGGAATAAAGTCAAGAGTGTATGGCTCCATCTGGTGTGAATGCCAACTAAACAATAACAATAAACAGTGTTGCCTGTGAGATGAGTGGAAATGTCAAGATTTTTTTACTTTTTTTTTTCTTTTCAGACATTCTGACTAAAGTGACTGATATGTGGCAATATATATATTAACTAACTTGAATACAAAATAACTCAAAGCACAGCACAAGTAAATAGTGTTAAATATACAAGTTTGATAAAATGTGGCAAAATAGAATTTCATCTAAGGCTAAACAATGGTGTTAAAATTTGGTCATACATGGGGCAGTGGAAAAGGAGAAACAGCTCAACAAAACCAAATATCAGCATTAATTCACACTTTTAGAACAAAAATGCATAATCATATTGAGCAAACATGAAACTAATGGACTTCATACCACTGTTAGAATCCAGGCATGTTCAGATTTAGTACTAAATATGTTTTCCTAGCAGTCCCAGAAAGACAAGAAGTATGAAGAACAATGTGATGCCAATAACTTCCATTACAGTACTTATTCCCATGTTTTGGGATGTGGGCTAGAGATTCACCATGTTTCTTTGTAGATATTTTTTTTATATAGAATTTGGGGTTACAAGTACCATGAATTCTGAGTTTATAACAATATGGGAAATACTGTTTTAAAATGTTTCCTCATTAGGTTATTCGAGTTAAATGTTAATGAAAAAAAAAATTGTCCACATTTCACCATTCACCCGTATGATATTTAGTAAAGAAAACTAATATACAATAATGTAAGTTCAAAAGAAGCTGAGGTGAAAAGGAGGAGGGCGCCATCGCTCTATCTCCAACAATACAAGATTGCTAATCATGTTGAACAGAATCAACACTATGATTTCCAGCATGAGACTATGCAGCACTAATGACTCAATCAGGATCATAACAATCTAAGCAAGAAATAAGGCAATGCTGGTTCTAAACTTGTCTCTGCCTACAGCTAGCCAATGGGTAGGTCAAAACCTAGGCTTTTGTATTGTTTAGTGAAGAATACAAGGAATGCTACCTTATCCTAAAAGCACAACCAATCAAGTAAGCTACCAAGGTTTCTGATCAAGTAGTCCAATAACAAATATTCAAGTTAATACCAGACTAAAAACATTTGACAGCAAAAAATATTTTTTTTAAAGGTAATTTATACCATTGGTATCCAAAAAAAAAACAACAACAACAACAAACTGTTAAATAATGTTGAATTGACATCAGGAAGAGTGTACACTAGTGAAGTGCAATGTGCAACACTAGGTCAAACCTTTTCTTTGGCAGTTATCAAGATATGGAAATGAAACACAGCCAGCAGAACAAAGGTTTGAACACCCTGCTACTAAAAGATTAAAACAATAGTTTGTTTGTTCTACCAAGGCAACAAATGGCTGACTGACAGTTTGACTAAATGGGTGAACAACAACCAAATACACACACACACACACAAAAAAGAAAATCACAAGAATTCTCTCTTTAAAAAAAAGGAAAACCAAATTAAGAAACAAGGCATTTTGATTGCAGTGTAGGAAGACCAGAGTCAAAATATAAAATTAAAGAGCTTGCATGGATACTGATCAGACACATAGAAAGCTGTAATAGTAGAATTGACAACATGACTAGCAATATTTGTAATAGTACAATATGGAGACAGACTTTTGATTCTTTTTATCATTGCAAAATATAAAGGTTATGCATGATATATTAAGATATACATAGTTTATATACAGATAAATATGGACTCAAAATTCCAGACTAAAATATAGGTGAGATTTAGGTCAAGAAAAGATCCAGCAACTTCTGCAATAGAATGCATCATTCAATTGTTGCTATCTGCAGTTAAGTTAACTAACTTGGTTTAAGTTAACTAGCTTTGTGACCTTCCTTAGACTAAGTTTGTTTCTAACATTTCAGTGCAACTCAACAATTTCTTCATTTCTAGTTGGCCAAAGTCAATAGTTGCTTGTTACAAGACAAGAAGTAGAGCAATTTATTTTGATTGCATTTTGCTCTACATACTGGTGCTGGGAAGAACACTACATACACAGAGCAGTTCACTTAACTTGAGCTTCAGAGAGAATACTATACAAATATTGATCAAGAGAATAAGCTGCCTACATAATGCTCTCTCTACAAGGGATGAACAAATGTGCACCAGAACAGAACAAAGGAAATTTGGCTCAGACTCATCTAACCACAATACAGAACAATGAGGACAGTTTTCTATCAATTTCTTTACTGAGAAACACCAAAAAGTTCATTGCCATAAGATTTTTTAAACAACAGACTTGCAACATTAGCCACCTTAACACAAACATACATCAAATTTGATAATATTTCCATTTGAAATCCATCTAAAGTACTGTGAACATATGTTAGATACTACACCTTTATTTGCCAGAGAATAGGAGGATCAAGTTTACAATGGACTACAAAACAAAACGTCCATTAAACTATAATGTTCTTAAGGTAATGGTATTTTGAAGTTCAACATATTTTTAACTAAGTGTACCACAAAGACACAACCATTTATACAAATAATGAAAATCAAATATGCACAAAATTGAATACATCAACAAGGAGAATGGGAGAAACAAAATGGAATTCATGGTTATCAGAAGACTGCACAAGCTTCAAGTTTAAAAGGTAATATATATGTATATGTATATATATATATATTAATATTATATACTGAGAGCTTTCTTCCTAACACCATATTACTTGACCACACATACACAAGAAGTAATTGGTTGAGAAATATATATATATATATATATATATATAGATAGATATTTGTTTTGTTTATAATTAATTGTACAAGAATACCACCAATGAGCAAAATTGATATAAATACAGCCTGCAGGCATACATATGAATGTAACAAGTGTGATGAAATGATGTGTATGTCTGTGTGTGGAAACCCAGTCCACTAGCAAGGAATACTTATTACAAAGCTTGTTGATATCACCAAATACAACACAGAAAATATCTATTTAAAAAAAAAAGAATTTGTTAAAAACTAATGTTGCAGCATTGTCAGTCAATTTTATTAGACAAAAATTCAATGTTTGGTTGGGGCAAGCTTCTGAAAAAAAGTTACCATTTCCAAACTATTGCTCATGACAGAAAAGACAATAAGCAGAGTACAGCCATTTACCCTGAGTCTAAAAGCTTTTGCATTGTTGCCACTGATAGCACTTCTTCAAACTCAATGTGCATGCAGTAGAAAACATTTTAAATGTAACCCAAGCCCAGCTCTAGTTAGACAAGTGTTAAAAGCTCTTTAGTCTTACACTTAATACAAATGCAGAACAAGAATTAAAAAAAAAAAAAAGAAAAAGTAATAAAAAAGTAACAATAAATGATGGCTTCAAATAAATTATCACAGCTAATTACACACAAACTAAAATCATACTTTCTAGCTGCAAACAAAATGTTCAAATAACTTTTGAAAGCTCTAGTTTGAAGAGAGAAAAATGAGATGCTTTTCAAAGATCAGCACATTATAACCAATTAATCTTTGTTATACACAAGGCAATACCACAATAAGTATCATTCATGTTTTGACAATAGTTCAAATATTGATGTGGACTCTATAAATATATTTGAAGCAAACTCTAAAGTAAGGCAGCTACGCACAACATGGAAGAAAAAAGAAAAACCCTTCGACAGTGTTGGAAATGATCAAATCATACTGTCTACATGCAGAAAATGTTAAAAAAGACAAGTCTGTATGAAATTTTGATTGAAAATCTGAATAGCAAAATTTCATACTAAGTAAAACTTTTCTCAAATAAATCAAAGCCAATATATGAAATGTTTCAAGAAAACAAATACTGAAATGAAACTGATTATCTGCCCTGCCACCAACAATAACACTATAGTGAACATGAACTAGATTGATATGGGACTGCCCATAGTGCCACAATTTTTGGCTTGCAAAGTATCTTTCAATGTTCAGAACTAC